CCCCCCCCCCCCCCCCCCGTACAGCTGAGCAGGTGCCAGCCTGATGACCAAGGCATTAAAGTGTGTTTCTTTTTTCCAAGTTTGAGTTGCTTATTGGAATCAAAGAAAATGTTAAGAAATAAATAAATACAAAATACATTAAAAAATTCCAAAGTGTGGCGCTTTTTTAGCTTCTGAGCATGGCATTTCACAGACAGCCTGGATGGTATAATAGCATCTTGCCACCAAAGAAGGGAATTTTACACTTCCCTCTCCTGCTGGTGGCTGTGCAGTCTTGTGTTTTCTGTGCCTTGACTCTGGTTATCTGCTGTTGAACCAGTTTAACACGAGAATCTGGGGGAAAAATACTTGAGTTGTATTTTGCCCATTTTAGTGGGGACTTGGGTGATACTCAATTGGCAGAGCGTACAAAAGTGAATGACTGGGTAGGGGTTGTTACTGTGCCTGGGACCATGGGTTGCTACAGGGAGTGTAAATGGAGTGCACTGGTTGTGTGCCTATGCGGTGCCTTTACAGAAGGGAGGAATGCAGTGGCAGAGGGTGCTGCCATTCTGCAGCATGGCTTTTATTTCAGAAGCTTTTTGTCTTCTGCTGTGTTTTGGATGGAACATGCTTTAGGAGTTGTGGACTGTCTTGAAATTAATCATCTTGAACCTCCTTGCTTTTGCCACTATTTATTTCCACTTTGGTTCTCTGCTTTAATGTAATTATGTGAAATGTGAAGAAAGAGAGAATGTAATAAGTACAGGGTTTATGATTTCTCTCATCTCTCTAAATCCTGGAAGCTACAGTGGCCCCTAGCATTTAGAATAAGCACTTGCAGGAGAAAACCTGTCCAGCCTCTGCCACATGCTTGGTTGAAATGCAGTCTCTGGAGCAGAGCTACCAGACTTTGAGCAACATGTGCTTAGCATGCCAAAATTAAATATTTCCCTCAAATACCTAATCACTCCAGAAAGCTGTATAGTCAGCAGACTGACTCTGACGATTTTCCTTCTTGGTATGCTATCTTCAAAATACTTGAACATCATGCTTTCTTAATTTCACTGTGTAAAAGTTAGCCTGGGGAGCCAAGTGACATAGAAAACTTCAGCCCAGATGGCAAAAACTTGCTTTTGAAGTATCCAGGGTGATTTTTTTTCCCCCTTAAGAATAGGAAAAATAAGACAAAACCCTAAATTTATTATCATGAACAGTATTATGATGAAGTTTAAAAAGGGTAGTTCAAAATCTTTAGTTTTCTTGCTAAAACAGTTGTGTTTTCCATGTTTGCCTTTATACTATGTGGATAGTATTATCTTCCTTGATACTCCTAAGGGCCTTGACAAATGCTTCAAATGTTAAACCTGTTGTAAGTCTGGTTTATCAGCTCTGGAAGACATGGAGTTGTGAAGCATCTGATTATAAGAATTTATTGTAAGAGCTTATATTTATGGGAAATTACATGGAAGTTGGCAAGTTGGAGATACAAATTTGCTATATATAATATTTTAAAATATTAACTCAGCATCAAGTCTGGTTTTGTTTGGTCAACAAGAATTACCCTAATGTTGTCCATTCTGGGCTCTGCTGTGTTGTGTTAATGAAAACCATTGCAGTTCACTCATCCTATTCAGAAAACGTGTGTGGTGGGGTTTTGATTTTTTTTTTAAATTATTTTTTGTTGGTTTTGGAGGGTTTTTGTTTTGGTTTTTATTTACTTGTTTGGGTTTTCTGTTATATTTTGTTTGGTTGGGTTTTTTTACAGTGTTTCTGTAAAATTGTTTTTACTGCAATGCTTTTACCATTTGTGGAGTCACTTTGCGGTAGCATCATGAGAGGACTCAAAATCTTTACACAGGAGAAAGCTTGTTTGGAAACAGGATGGTGGGATCTACATTTTCTGTTTCCAACTCTTTTATCCTTCCATATGTAGAATAATTTTCATTGTATTTTTTGATCTATTTTATTCTAGAAGTCTGCTACAAAGGAAGAAAAAAAAGTAAGCTTACACTTCAGACTGCTTTTTGGATATCTTTCTAATACAGTGGTGTTCCAGAAGATGATAAAGAAATGATAGCAGCTCCAGAAATACCAACTGATTTTACTCTCCTTCAGTAAGTACTTTAAAAATTTGTAGTTCTGTTTGTAAATGTACGGTCTCTTTTTTGTGTTGTGGTTTACTTTCTCTTGGAAACAAGGAAACATAATAAAAGATAGTGTTCTATATTTTTTTTCTATTGAGATTGATAAAAGCATTATTTTAATTTTTTCTTGAGTATTAATTCAGGAGTAAATTAAGTTTTTAAAATACTGTTTAAAATCTGATTTTAAATCAAGTAGTTGAAAAATTTGCCCTTACCTGGGGCAGGTCAGTTAATATTTTAAATATGTAATGCCAAATGCTTTAGTTAAGGCCAAAGTAATGGCTTCCCACAGGCATCAGTTCCTTGGTGTTTTTGACATAATTTTACTAAGCCTTTCATCTTCCCACAATTTTTAAGAAACAGATATTTAAGTTTCCAAGATTTAGAATTAGGTACAGATTATGCTTTTGGATAGAGAAGTAAAGTAGTTTAAGCAGACCAAAAGAATCCAGTTCGTCCCCTTTTATTTTTCAAGAGATTGGCACAAATACATTTCTCTGGACTGTTGAAATCGATTAACTTGGTTATGAAGTCTAAAAAGATGCAAAGGTGCAGTTTTGTATCAATGAGTTTATTTGTGTGGGTGTTTGTTTTTTTCAGTGAGAAATAAAAGATTTGAAATAAATTGGAAGATGGTTTAATGTAAAATAATGTTTTTACAATCGTTTATAATGGTTTTCTACTCTGTTGTTGTAGTTTATTGCTCAATGAAATGCTTGGAATTTGTATTTAGTTTTTTCCTGTGAAAATAAGAACATCTAGGCATCTTTACAGAGGAAATTTTTTCCACCTTTTTTCTTTCTTTCATTCTTCCCCCCAATGCCCTGGTTCTCAGCCTTTTCCAGTCTATATCAGCTTATGTAGTCAGCAAAACCAGACACAGCAGAATCCATGTCAAAAGGCAGCAACTCCTTTCAGACACTTGCAGTAGTGAGAGACTAAGTTTCTGGAGTGTTTTAGAAGGTTATAAATACATCCATAGGAATGAGTCTCCCGTGCCTCCGGTCATATTTCTGATTGTTTTGTTAATTGAATCAGGAACTGTGTATCAGAAATTTGTGATAGCAGCTTAAAATTCATTGTACTGCATCTGTGTGTTAAAATGAGCTCTTGTAGCATCATTTGTAGCATTTAACTTAATTTCTACAGGAAATGTAGAAATAGAGACTGCTACACAAGCCAAGCATTCTCTATTAGTAATTCAGGTCATTTCACACACCTTCCTATCAGTGTTGCGGATTTGTGTGTCAATGCAGCATATTTTAATGTGTAGGAAATGAAACAAATGAGTTTGTGTATTTAGTGTTTTTACCTTATAAACCTAAACAGAACTACAGCATATCATTTTGATGAGGAAACCTCACCAAAACTTCTTTTCTGTACCTTTCAACATAAGCAAACCTCTTAATTACTTCCTAAGTTTCTAACAGCATGAAGAAATCTGTTAAGACACTTTGGTTGTCAGGGAAAGTGATGCTTTTGGGTTTTTTCTCTTTTCTCCCCCTCATTTTGTTTAAGGATTTGTGACCAGTATTTAAAACTCTTTGGTTTTTGAGATGTTTCCATGTTTATCACATGTCAAAGGCATGGTTCCCAGCCTGCTGCTATTTTCTACCTACCCTCAGATCTTTTAATTTTCCTGGATGGCTTCCTTCTCAGGTACATTGTTTGGAGGAGACAGGATAGGCTGCGAGTGTGGGGATATGCTCTGTTCCTCAACAGCAGGCTTGGGAAAAGTTTGACTGTTGGTGATGACTGACTGGACTGAGAGCATACTGTGATTTTATATAGTATATTTAGGAATGTTTCTGATGAAATGTGTGAATGGTTTGTCTTTTTTTCCTTGCAGGGAGTCTGAAACACACTTCTCTTCTGATACAGACTTTGAGGATATTGAAGGAAAAAACCAAAAACAAGGCAAAGGCAAAGTACGTTCAATCTTTAGGGATACTGAAACATTTCTACAGTTATGAATTGAAGAGTTTAGCACTTGCTTTGAAGTTGAATGAGCAAGGAATATTTTCTGAAAATGCAAGTGTTCTGTGAAGAGAGTTCATATTTGTAATTGCATGGAAATTGACTGTTTCTGTGATATTTCCTTACTGCTCCGAAGGCACAAGGGAGGTAGGGCAGGGAAGGATAAGCTTTGATTTGATCAGTCTCTTAGCATATTTTCCACCCTATTCATCATGGATAAATATATTATACTCAATTTATTATATTATACATATACTTAAATTTATCATGTATTCTATGTCTTTTAGTTTGAAAAGTGAACAGAAGAGTAATTCAGTTAAAAGTGCTTTTTTTAACAGGCTGCAGACAGGAGGTTACAATAGTGGGCTGGGAACCCGGTTCCCAGCCCTTCTTTCCCTTCCTTGGAGAGTTTTCCTCCCCATGTGCCTCTCACAGGCTTCAGAGCCACCATGTGTGGCTCCTTCCCTGCTGTACGCTAGCCTGGGCTGTGACCCTTCATTGGACACCCCATGAGCCTGTACTAGTGCAGAGTACCTGCTTGTTGAGAGGTGGTGATAGATTTTGTACAATGGTCATGTAATTTGTACTTAATGTTTTTCTTTCTTTCTGTAAGTCATACTTCACTTGGGAAATCAAATACAAAAATGCCTGTCTGCTCTTCCTCACCCCACCATTTGCCAATGTATATTCAAATGAAAGAACAAAGGGTTAATGAATGGCAGAGGAGATTTTCTTATGTGTTAAGGGAATCACCTTAGCTGTTTTAAAGGAAATATGTATAATCTGTTTTATGATTTAAACACATGAAAGATCTGTGTTGTACACACTAATCACATTTTTAGTTGCTAAAAGATTTTAAATGAGGTAAGGAGAAACCTTGCTGGTCTTTGTATCACTCAGGATCTGCTGTTCCCAGCTTCTGAATTTATATATATATATATATAGTACACACATATACATACACATAGATACATATAAAACATTTAAAAAATATTGTTGCTGAAAATCGAGGGTCTTGTCTATATTTGTCATGGTATGGATAGTAATTTTTTTTTTTTTAATACTTCATAATAATTAAGTAAAACCTCTTGTGTATGTGATTGCAGACCTGTAAAAAAGGAAAAAAAGGACCAGCAGAGAAGGGTAAAAGTGGTAACGGAGGAGGGAAACCTGGTGGTCCGAATCGGATGAATGGACATCACCAACAGAATGGTGTGGAAAACATGATGCTCTTTGAAGTAGTTAAAATGGGCAAGAGTGCTATGCAGGTAAGACCTGGGATAGCTCTATGACTTGTATATAGGTACAATTTAAGTAGAGCAATATTTTCTTCTACATGCAACTTAATCGAATGAAATCTAAAGTAATTGTTTTCCTTCAATTTGCTGTTTTTAGTTGTATATAAGTATCAAAATAAAGTGGTTTTGCTTTGTTGGTCTCTGAATTCGAATGAACTGATACTTTATTTCTGAATGTTATTCATTAATAATCATATATGAAACAAAAAAATTCATACTGTGATTCAAAGTAAGTTTTTGGTATCTGGAATGAAGAAAGGTTGTTTTGGATTACATAACTTTAATGTCCTTTTTGTGTGGTGGTTTAGACTTACTGTTGTCATAGACCTTACTGGACTTTATTGTGGTCATGGACCTTAACATGAATCTGTAGTTTTTACATGCATCCAGAGCTTAGATTATCTGAAAATAGATAGTTGCTTCTCTTACCCAAAGTAAAATCACTAGCTGCAACTTAGAGGCTCCTCTTTAAATTTCCTGACCCAAATTCTAGCCAATTGAAGTGTAGTAATATACTCTGGCCAAGTCAACTTAGGGGAAATTTAACTCTTTCAAGTATCATTAGGCACCCTCCCCACTGCATTTACTAACAGGACTGAAATAAGACTAATAAGAAATACGTCACTGTTTTTGTTGTTTTTTATTTTAAAATTCAGTGAGTCTCCCAGTCAAGATAGGGTTAAAGTGTAATAAGTGTAAGCCTGTCAGCCATGAAGCTTTCCTGCTGACTCACTCATGTGACTCCTGGCAGTGTGGAAGAAAAACTATCTTTGGGACCAGAAATCTAGAGTTTGCAGCTCTTATAATACATATGCAGGAAGCTGGGTTGCTGTACGATTCTCTCAGGGTTTGCAGGCACCTGCAAGGCACCTTACAGCTGGGAACAAAAACAAATTACTTGGATGTATTTGCACAGAGAAATCATTTGTTTTGTTCTATTTCAAAGCAGATGGAAAAACATACTTCTCTAACTGTTGCTCCGTGTGCAACTTGTTCAGCCAGTTATCAGTAATTGTATCTTCATGACATTTTAGCTGTTTAAAATGATATACCATCAAAATATTTTGCTTTCTAAGGGCAAAATTGAGCTTTGCCAGGTCTGATTACTCTGTTGAATTGGGAAATTGATACCTGAATCTTTGTCAATTTTTTAAAATTAGAAAGAAAAAAACTCAAATTATTTTTAAACTAAAGTCCATTTCAGTCAAAGTTTTTTTCCATGGCCCTTGGTGTTTGCTTATCTGGAAAAATTTTGGTAATAATTTTAAGTTAACTATTTTACTTTTAGTTCTGTTCTGTATTTCTGAATTAGTTGACAAGGTGGTGTTAAGTCATAGGTTGGTCTCGATGACCTCAAAGGTCTTTTCCAACCTAATCCATTCTGTGATTCTGTGAATTAATGTCTGTTCCCTGGCAAAAAGAGGTGGTTCATTCACAGAGACAAAATGTTTCAAGAAGCAAGTGTTTTGCTGGAGCTTCTTTAAATTGAATAGATTTTGAAAACAAGGCTGCCTAGTTTAAATATTTATTACATTCCTATAATTCTTAGTTCTTGCATGGTGATATTCTTTAGAAGCCAATTTGTTTTCTCCGTATTTCATTCTTCCCTTCAGGCCAGTCCACTCAGGTCCAGTTCATAGGTCCTGTTCCTACTGGAAAGACCATGACAGTTTCACTTCGAGTTTTTCATTCTTTTTTGTCAGTTGTACTGACAAAAGTTGTGCATCACACTACAAACAATCTGAGATTCAGGGAAGAGGCATTTAGCCGTTCAGAAGTTTTCCTTGATGTCAGTATGGTTTTTTTTTCCTCACAGCAATATTGCCTGTGAGAGTAAGCACTGAGAATACAGACCAGAAGCTTTGGAGATACTGCATAGTCCAGCTGTCTTTTGAAATTCTGAATTATTCCATCATTTAGGGAAGGGTACTAACATATTAAAAAAAGTTAAACCTGAGAACTTGATACTAAAGTGAATCACTTGTACCTGTATTAATAAAATTGTTTGAGTCTGTGCTTTTATGACCTTGACAGTAGATGGTTTTCACTCCACAAATGGATGGTTAAAACATAATTGCATGTAAATTTTGTTTTGTCAAAATGATTATCAGAGGTTTAATAGCTTCACATTAAGGTCATTTAATAAAACGTGCTTGTTCCTATTTGCCTTACTGACTACAGAGTAATTAATATCTGTGGAGTGTAGAGCAGTGCTGTTCATCCTGTTATGGCAAATGTGGATGAAGCAAAGTCCATCCAAGGGGCAGATTTTTTTAAAGAGTATAGGGAGTTGTAGCTGTTGGAATTAAATTCACAAATAGTATCTCCAGAGAAATGACAGGGGTTTGGCAGAGCAGGGGGAGGGCATAAATAAAAAACCTGATTCTGTAAAATACCCCAATTATTTTTGCATTCTTCGTTCAAAAAACGTTCATGTCGGAGTATATGGTATTCCTGTGCTTTATGTTTAGGTTCAGTTTTGTACTGGTATATGTTTATAGAATAAAATGAGTTCTTGAGAACATATGCAATAAAAGATCATTTAAACATTTAGTTATGTAGTAATCAAAAAAGAGGGTGGAAATTACTTAAAGGGATGAAGAAGAATCACTTACTGGAAAGCAGGTAAGTAACAATGTCTTCAATTTATGAAAACTGAGCAGTTGCTTTTTATTTGTTTTCTTTCAGTCTGTAGTGGATGACTGGATAGAGTCATACAAACATGACCGAGATATAGCACTTCTTGATCTCATTAACTTCTTTATTCAGTGTTCAGGCTGCAAAGGTAAGATACTGAAATGGTTACTCATCCATTTAAGTAATATTCTAGTATGATTCTCAGTCTTTGCTTTCATACTACTAAGCCTGTAAGACTGCTTCATGCCCAGAGCTAGTTTACATTATCATGTTCTTGGAGTTAAACAAGTATTTCTGAAGGTGGGAGTAGGAGGTTTAGAAACCTTACACTGTAGTTTAAAGTGTTGATGAAGCCTTTTATATTTACAGCAGATAGAAATCAGTACTGGTACTTAACACGTGCTTCCTCTTCCTGTTCCTGCTCTTATTTCGGAAATCTTGTGTCCCATCACTGATAGTTCATCTTGTTCAGTCTTGGAATCCTAATTTTGATATACCTATTTTTTTTATCATGGATTAAGATTGCTTCATAGCTTTAGTTTCAAAAGATATGATGGACAATTTTATGGTAGCCTGTCTACAGTAAGATTGTGTTTCCATATATATTTTTTCCTTCATTTTCTGGTTTTTCTTTCCTCATTTCCATGTCCTCCATTCTTTTATCTCCTATCTCCTCCTAAAGAGAAGGTAACTTGCCTTGCAGTGTCACTATGCTTGATAGACGAGGACTGGATGTAATTTGTTCTGCTTAAGTGTTTCTCTGTCCTGATCAACTTTTAAAATGTGTAAATCTCCAGAAAGCTAACAGTGTTCCTCAGAGGTTATCTGCACTTTCAAGAATAGTGACCTTTTGATTTTTGTTGCAAGATAAAGCTGCAGGATCTTTTAATGCTTTCTGTGGTGATCCTTGTCATGAATTTTGCAACAAACTTTAGGAGATCTAACAATTTGAGGACAAGACAAATAGAAATTGCATAAAAGCACTATGTTTATTACAGTACAAAAGATAATAAGTAGCAATAGAGCTGTTCAAAATTGTCTTGCACCATTTAGAATCTTGAGTCCCAAAAGGTCACTTCAGATGGTACAATGCTAACTGATAAAGAGGTCTGGCACAAGTATCTTTGACTTCTGAATATGAGTGAATGAGTAAGTTCTAGATGTGTGTGTGTACATGCACACAAACACACTTCTTAAGAAGAACAGTAATAAACCCCACATAAATAAATGAAATGGGGCTAAGTACTTGTTACACATGGATGCTAGAAGATAAAAAGTGAAATTTGTCAAAAATATATGTGTGTAATCAGTAGATTAGGTGAAAATGGGTTATTTCGACGTTGTAGCAGGAGGCATATCTTCTGCCATCTACAGCATTCATATTAGCAGCGCTAATGACCTAATATCTAAATTGTAGGAGTTGTTACAGCAGAGATGTTCCGACATATGCAGAATTCTGAAATAATCCGAAAAATGACTGAAGAATTTGATGAGGTAATTTAATGAAGTGCTGATTATGTATTAATTTTTATTTTCTTTGTACCTGTCCTAATCTTGCTGGTTCACATTGCTAGATATTTATTTCAAGAATAAGGAGTTACAAAAATTAATAAAAATTATGAATTATGAATGAAAATATTAAACTCTACTTCCTAGTCTTACAAGTTCAGTGAAATAAGAAAGTTCTGTGTGTATGCAACTTACTAATGGGTTAAGAAATCAATATTGACTTTCAATTTTTGAATAGTGGGAACTCCTACTATGGTGGTGCTATGGGGGATGCATCCCTATCTTGCTGTTTATATAAGGCCTTAAATTGTCTCTTAAAGTGGTCACTACATTTATTTCTTTGCACTCATTAATCTACAAATTGTGGGGGCCTGTTCTGGTTTAGGGCAAATTTAGGAGAAAACCTCCAAATGGGGTTCCTCCAGAAAGCAAATTTAGGTGGCCCCATACCAAGCTGGTTTGGCAAAACATATTTCCTTGGAGAAAAGGGGAAAAAAACCCTGTTTATTTAACAGAATTTGATTAATATTAAACAATAAAACCTCTTGCTGTTTGATGAGATGGCAAATCCAGAAAAGTCCTTGTTGTGGGGTGTAGCTCGGCTTGCTCAGTCTCTTATCAGTCCCTCCGGCGCGGTGTCCCACGCCAGTGGGCCACAGGCATGAGCACCTGTGGTTTGTCTGGGTTTTCAGTCCAGATCAGGTTTGAAAAGATCGAAGAAAAAAGGAAAAGAAAAAACCAGGCCAGGGAACTTCTCTGTCTCAGCTAGCTAAAACAGCAGAGGAGGGCTCTGTCCTGCTGTGTGTCCATGCTGCAGACAGCACAGCCCAAAGCAGTGTGCCGGGCAGTGAGCGCTGTTTCAGAACACAAACTGCGCGCTGCTGCTTCCCCACTTCGCTCTCAGAACCAGTCTTAAAGGTGCAGAACTTAATATGTAACAAACAGAACGGACCACTGGGGATACAAGCATCATAAAGTCACCCCAGGACAGGGCCTAGATTTGATTATTCTCCAGTTGAAGGCTAATGCTATTCCTTTCATGAGGATTGCAGGTTTTTTTGCCTTTAAACTATCACTTTCTATCCACAGAGTGTTGGGGTAAATGAGATGTATTGGGTTTTTTCTTTTGGTGGGCGGTGGGGTTATTTTGGTTTTGTTTGTTGTAGTTTTTATTTTGTTTTGGGGTTTTTTTTGTTGGTTTCATTTGGCTTTCATTTGGTTTTGGTTTTCCCAGGTTTGAATGGTGTTCCTTTCATCCTGTGTTCCAGAGAATGTAAATGCAGCTTTAAAACCTCCTTCTCAAATTTGTCTAGTACAGAAACAATGTACTACTGCCACCCCTCCAATAATTAAAAAAATCCATAACTTTAACTGAGGAGAAAATGTAGTAGTATTCTTTAAAAGGATTTTAGCGTTCCTTAAAACAACCTCAATGCATAAATGGATTTGATTACTCTAAGGCAATATTGTGTGAGATTTATAAAGCCACACCTGGGACTGTTGGTACATTGGTTTTTTTATCACTATGTCATTCTCACTTTTTCTTGTAACAGAATTTTAATGAGCAGCTCCCAGATTTCTAATGGATACTTCCTTTATTTTTCAACTTCTTAAAGAAACTGTTCATAGAGGCACTGACATGAATGATTCTTTTTTTCTCCCTGTCATTTTGCCATTATTTGTAAAGGCTCCCATATCAGGAGAGGACTCACATTTGTTATATTAAAGATGTTGTAGTAGGTAATTTTATGACTTCAGAAGGTTTCACTCTAAGATGCGTTTCCCTGTAAACTTCATTATGATCTCAACCTGTTCCTAAACTTGAAATCTTACTGTTCATGTGATGGTTCTAGTGTAACAAAGTAGATTTGCAAGGCAAATAAATTTTATTCATTTTTTTTTTTCATCAAACAAAAAAGAGAAACTAGTAGTTAGAATGTTGTCTTTGTGTTATTATAACAAGCCTCAACTGCAAAATATATTCACATTTATGGAATCATATTCTTCTGATGTATCATTTTTAAGGCCTCTGAGATTTTGGCTTTAAAGTTGTACCCATCTCTTCTTAATCTTTATTTAATGAAATAACTTAAGATGTTTGAAACAATTTCCTGTTGCCTTTTCTGTGTTTTAATAGGATAGTGGAGATTATCCACTAACTATGGCTGGCCCCCAGTGGAAAAAGTTCAAATCCAGTTTTTGTGAGTTCATTGGAGTACTCGTCCGACAATGTCAATATAGCATCATATATGATGAATATATGATGGATACTGTCATTTCACTGCTTACGGGGCTGTCAGACTCACAAGTCAGAGCGTTTCGGCACACTAGCACACTGGCAGGTCAGTGAATTACATTTATTTGGGTATTGCTTACATTTTATGTTTTGTGTTGCACAGGACAGAATTACTCTGGTTAAACGTCTTGATATTCACCATTCAACTTGTGTTTTATTGTGTGATACAGTTTTCATCTAATGCAGCTCGCTTTGGGACAGCTTTTTATCTTGGATTTTTGTTAATGAGAAACAGCACTATTTTAAAGCATTCTTTGCTACCTGTCTGGTACTTAATTTTTATTACCTTTAGAAAAGTAAATAGAAACTTATAAATTGATTCTACTAGTTTGTCTTTGATCATAAATAAAGCGGTAAGTGTCTTAATCTCAAATGTAGTTGAACCTGTTCATACTCTGCATTAAGTCAAACGGAAGCTGTAGTTTACGTTGGATGGAATTTTTACTACAAACTTAAATTGTGCTACGTATTAAGGCCATGGCACTTTGTAAAGTTGCATTTCCAGTCTTTGCATTAGAAATGATTTAAAAGAATTTTTTCATCAGTAATACAGTCTCTAAATTTATGTTTTATGTAGTTGGCATTTTCACATAATGTTTTCCCAATGTGTTAAATTGTGAAGAAATCCCTTATGAGTTAAGTATAGAGTGTTTCAAGGAAATATGTCTTTGTATGGACAAAGGATGAGCTTCTTGGATAAAGGAGTCCTAAACTTGGCACTGATTACTGAAGAAGGATTGTGAATGGCACTGTGTCATTGGCTGTCAGCTTATTGTAACAATTTTACTTTGAACAAGGTAAATTTAGTCTGTGTGTTGCTGAGCTTTTGCCACATTAGAGGTAATTATTGTTAGTTTCCCTTGAGCCGGCTGATTTACAGCTGGCTTCAGTCCTGACTGTCCTGTCAGTCCTTCTGTATCCTTGATAGCTGTCTTGAATTTATATTAGCACACTGCACGTGGGGCTGCTGGTGTGTGAGACTGCTACCAGCCAGAGCATTTCTTATGGAGAGAGGAACAAAACCTTTTATTTCAGGAAAATTTACAGATTTTGCTGTATCATCAGTTGTGACTTGTACTTTATGACTAATACAAATTCAAGGTCTTAAAAAGCAAGTTTCTACCTTGGTTTTTTTTTTTTTTTGAGCTGTGCCTAAATAAAAGTTGCAGAAATTGCCCTGTTGCGTGTTAGTTTCTGTCAAACAAAATACTTAAAAGCCGTGTGTTTTCATTTGTTCACATCAGTAGTCAATTCTGTTGGTTTTGTGTGTTTGTCTGAGTTTTACTGCTTGTATTGCTGAAGGTTGTATTTTATATGGAAATCCTTGTATCCATATTTACTGGTACTTCTGGTAATTTTGGCTTCTATGATTAACTCAGACTTGTTCTTTAATCTTGGACATCACAATGTGAGATGATATTTCAATATAACTGCATGTCTTTAAGCCTTGCTCATCAGCTTTATGCTGATGATACATGCACAAGAATTTTCTGTGTGTGCTCTGCCAGTGCAAGCCCTTTTATGCCTTTTTACAGAAGCTCACAAGACTAGCAAGTACACAATTGATCACCTAGTTTCTGAAAAAAGGGTATTTGTCTGCACCCTTTTAAAGGGTTGATCTAAAAATAAAAGGACACCAAAAATCCCATGGAAGTGTATTTTATATTTTGGTTTTCTGTTTTCTGTCTTGTAGTTTGCTAATGTGCTTTCTCTGCTTCTGCTAATAAATGAATCTTTGAAAAACCTGCACCTTGTTAAAATTAATTTGAGGGAAAAAAATTGGTGTGATATGGTGGTGTTGGTTGTCTAAGATGTTTCCTTTTGAAGGAAGAAACTTGTATATTTAAGACTGGATGGTGCCAGTGTAACAGAATGATAACAGAATTCTTCTAGTATTTCTTGGGCTATGTTTGTAAATCTTACAATCTACCTTTATTTTGGGGAGGAAACAGATCCTATATCAATTCAACAATAATAATATACTTATAATAAAAATAATGCTTATAGCATTAAAGAAATAACTAAAAAGAACAGAATAGCAATATTGTATCTATTGTCCTGATAAATAATGATGCAGTGTTTGGTAAAACATTGCATAAATTTGTGTATCAAAAAATTTACAGTGAATATATTTTCATAGATACAGAAAGGGTTGTCAGGAAGATGTGTCAAGATTTTTCTAAGTTTTCTTAGATCAGGTAACCTTTTAAATAATCCTTATTTTCACTTATTTTTCTAGCCATGAAACTGATGACTGCTTTAGTGAATGTGGCATTAAATCTAAGTATTAACATGGACAACACACAGCGGCAGTATGAAGCAGAACGAAATAAAATAATTGGGAAACGAGCTAATGATAGGCTGGAACTCTTACTACAGAAGAGAAAGGAGGTTAGTACAATTCTAGCTGGTTATTGGTAAGTGTTGATTACTGTTCATAAATGGCAGCTAATAATCTTGTTCTGCAGTTGGTTTTGGTAGTTATCCATCTCTCTAACTCTTCAGGTTGTTCAAGTTTAATGCTTAAAAAACTTTGAAAGGTGCTTCTTACTGTCTACTTTTCTGTAAAAAGAAGTCAATTTAGAGTCTTTAAAAACAGTGTTGTAGTGAAGTTGGTGAGAGAGACTGAAATCAGTAATAGATACATTTTTGTTTTATTTCTTTATGAGTTTCCTACATTGAGCTCAAATATGTAACAAAAATTACTGTACATTGACAGGTTTTGTCTTCAAGAGAAGATCTCCATGATCTTGGAGCAAAATACTGCTTTTATAATGTCAATAATGATCTCAGCAGAAAGTGTATTTAAAAGCTTTAGATAAGGCTTTTTTCATGTACAGAAAGTATTATCAAAATTGAAAATGCAGTCTACTTCTGTTTTCTTTCTTTTGTGTAAGAGACTTGCTGATTCATTGCTGACAGTATTGTCTTGTTGAAAGCCTTAATTCAATCAGGTTTCAGTTTTTACTTTTGGAGCAATTGGTGGTTTGTTTTTTTTGTTTGTTTTTGGTCTTTGTGTGGTGTTGGTGATGTTTGTTTTGTTTTAGGTTTGTAGTTTTTTAGACATCAGGAATAACTTCTTCATGATCAGAGGAAACATCTCACCTTTGCTCTTCAGCATTTGTACTGTTACCTGTTTAAGGGTTTTTTCCCCTGACAGTTGAGACAAGCTAGCAAGTTTGTGTTCTGGTCATCTCCCAAAGATCTTGTAATTTGAGACTGATCTCTTATCAACTCATTCAAAATAGTTTTGTTAGATGTGTGTGTAGGGCCAGTCCTAGTGTGAGTAATACATAGATACGTAAAAAAGCAATGATGTTACTAGAAAATTAAATCAGGTTTCCTTATAAATTAAGAAAGATCTTTCAGAAACCCAAGATGTCTTTGTTACACTTGAAGAACAGTTTTCCAGTGGTTAGAATTAATAAAATTTGTATGCTGTGGTAGATACGATTTCTTAAATAATAGCATATTGTACTGTGAAACAGATCTGTGAATATTTCTGAATCTGTGAAAGGATTTAATGGTCACACTTATAAATGTTCACTTAATTTAGTTTGTCTAGCATCAGCACCATCTGATCTGACTGTAAAAGTGCTACTCACTGTTTATGTATTCTCTACGTTCTTTCAGCTTCAAGAAAATCAGGATGAAATAGAAAACATGATGAATGCAATATTTAAAGGTGTTTTTGTGCATAGATACCGGTAAGTTTCTCTTAGTAAGTGATGTGTAGCATTTATTCTGGAAGCTGGTGGCAGGTTATTTCTAATTACTCATCTGTTTGAACTTACTGCCCCACTTCCCTCTACAGAGATGCAATTGCTGAAATAAGAGCCATCTGCATTGAGGAGATTGGAATATGGATGAAAATGTACAGTGACGCCTTTCTCAATGACAGCTACTTAAAATATGTGGGGTGGACTATGCATGACAAGGTAAACTGCACTGAGCAAAAGGAGCAGAACCAAGAAGCAGAACTCCTTGGTTTTGGCTTTTGATCTTTGCAGACTAGGTTTGGATTTCTTAACTGTTTGAATCAGTCACTGCTTTCCTTATCACTTAGAAGCATTTCAAAATACCTATAGGCCAGACTTGTATGTTTGAATGTTTTTGGAGATTTTTTTAAGGAACTGTTATTTGTAGGCAAATGGTCTTTTCTGTTGATTTATTGCTGATGCAAACTTGTACTTCATAGTGTTTAACTACTTCTAATTAATGCATGTCATCCCTATAGCCTGGCAGTACTCTGTTTTACCAAGCTACGAAAGTCTCTAGCATTCTCATCTAGCTGTAAAAAGCATGGAAAAGCCCCCTTTTTATGCTGGTTAGTGCCTCAAGCTGTTATTTACCAACTACCCCCTAGAGATTATTCTCTGCTTGGAGGGGTTAATATAGTTTGCAAATACTCCTTGACTCATTATTGAGTTAGTACATTCCTTCAGTTCTTGCATCAGAAGTTTCAAGCTGTTGAATTTTAAGTGAAAGAAATGAGAGATGCTTGGTCTTGCTGTGCTGTTCATTGGCTTGGTGTAAAAACCCAGTAACCTCTAGCAGTGGGGTGAGGTCTGTACCTTAGAACATGTTCTCTGCTGAAGCAGATCTTGTATTTCAGGAGGAATATTTCATTATCTGCTTAGTAATTTTGACTGAGCAAGAGATGATTGTCAATGATAGAAATATCTTGAGTGTTCAGAAAGAATGCAACAGGCATATTCTGATTAATGGAGGTAGTAACTGCAGTAAGACTGTGGGAGGGCTTTGTTTCCTTTTGTTGCTTCACTGCCTTGTTACAAACAAGGTTATATTCTTACGTCATTAACGTGATTATTGATAGTGTATTATGACAACTTTCAATCTCTGTTTTTGAATTAATTCTGACTGTAAAAGAAACTTGTCATGTATGACATGAAGATCACGTGTATCCTATACTTGACTTTTAATTCAGTTCTTAATTTTATTTTAGCAAGGAGAAGTAAGACTTAAATGCCTAACTGCTTTGCAAGGGCTTTACTATAATAAGGAGCTTAATTCCAAATTGGAACTCTTCACCAGTCGGTTCAAGGTTAGTGTTACTTCTTACATTGGGTATATATGATTTTTTTAAAGTTGCATTACACTTCTTTCCTCTTCAAAAATATTTTCTTTTGTGTTCTTAGGATAGAATTGTGTCTATGACTCTTGACAAAGAATATGATGTTGCAGTCCAAGCAATAAAATTACTCACTCTTGTTTTACAGTAAGTACATGTATATTTTCTTACATACAACAAATACTGAAACTTAAGTGTTTCTCATTCTTGTGGGTGAGGCCAGCATGACACCTCAGATAGCCTGAAGGCTATAGAAATGTCTATACATCTTACACTCAAAGAAAATGGAATTCCAAAGGTAATCTGTCTAGAACAGTGTTACTGCTTACCTCCCACAGTTCAGTAGGTCTAAGGGCTAGCAACTTTGAATTAAACCTCATAGTTAAAAACTATCATGAAATGTTAGAAATGAAGAACACGGACTATATTGAACATTGCACAGTAGTTGAACTCTTGAGCATAACCTTCTAGCAATAGCTCCTACTTCATCAGTATATTTTGTTCAGGAAGACTTTGGAACTAAGACTCTGGAGTTCTAGGATGATAAATTGAAGGAAGAGCTTTAGGTTTTCATTTATTTCCATCTCCCACATTAGAGTTCATACTTTGTTGACTCAGCCTTTTTGTTTTTTTTCTTTCTTTCCTTCTTCCCATCCCTACCCCTAGGAGTAGTGAAGAAGTTCTGACTGCAGAAGACTGTGAAAATGTCTACCACCTGGTTTATTCAGCTCATCGGCCAGTAGCAGTTGCTGCAGGGGAATTTCTTTATAAAAAGTAAGATGAAGAAATTACAGTTAACTTCTAGCTCCTGTAGATTTTTGTGCATTTGTGTGCATTAATACGATGATTTTTACTAGATTTAATCAAGAAAAGTAGTTCTTCTCCTGTGCCTGCCTCTTCCCCATTGTCCCATATAACCATTTCACAAAATATTTTTAATTTTAAAAATCCACTAAAAATCCAACATGTCAGGTGTGTAGGAGAACAAAATAAGAGTTTCCATCTAATACTTTTCAGACTTCCTTTCAATATTTCTTAGCTGCTTTAAAGTCTCCTGTAGGGAGGTTCAGAAAATACCTCAGAGGAGGAACGTAGGACCTCAAGCACCTGCAATTATCACTGATGTTTGTAAAGCATTTTATTATAATTATTAATCTCACTGGAAACATTCAGTGGGTTATCAACTCAGCATATACAAAATGCATATATGAAATTGTTCAAATGATACTTGCCCCAAATTACTTCCTTTCAAAATAAAATATGGAGCCAAGCAACAAGGTACTTAATGTGTAAAAAACTGGTATTTTTATGTGAATTTACTATGGTGAAGGCAATAAAGAAGAAACTTGTCAAGAAATAATTTTTCTTTTAGGCTTTTCAGCCGCAGAGATGCTGAAGATGATGGAATGCTGAAAAGGAGAGGAAGACAAAGTCCAAATGCTAATCTTGTGAAGACATTAGTGTTTTTCTTTCTGGAAAGTGAAGTAAGTTTGGGTTCAGGAAAATTCTTGTTTTTCATGGTGCGTGTGGATTTTTGCTGTGGTTCTAATTTTTGTCAGTTAAATTTTGTTGTTGTTTTTCTTTTCCCCGCTCACTGGTTAACAATCTGTTAACCAGTGAGTGGGGAAGAACCACTCACATGGTTTACAACCATGAATCCGTCCTGGTTTTCCTGCTGTTTGAGCAACCTGGGGGTGAAAAGACTGTTTTGTGTGGTTTTATTTACTTGCAGGAAAACCTTCACAATATTGAGATGGGCTGTCAGTGTTACTCTGAGAAACATGACAATGTATAAATGTAAAGAAATTGTGATCTAATAGATTATAAGGAGAGAGAGAAAAAAGAAAGAAAAAGCCACAGTCCCTACCCACCTATCCCCCAAGTTCTGATAGATCTTGTAGTACTACTCCTTGTATCTGTTGGTCTGGATTCATCTTTTTGAGTTAATTGGGGAAGAAAATCTTATGTTTAACCAGAGATCTTGAAAAACTTGCTCTGTATTTTTGCCACAGACAGGAGGCAAGAGCGAGAAATTCTATGTATTGTAGTTCTGTAATAATCTTCATTGCTGATAAAATACTTCATCTGTTCCTATTTTAGTTGCACGAACATGCTGCTTATCTTGTGGACAGCATGTGGGACTGTGCAACAGACCTCTTGAAGGACTGGGAATGTATGAACAGTCTTCTGCTGGAGGAGCCTCTCAATGGAGAAGAACGTAAGAGAGTTTCGTAGATCTTTGTTTCTATTGCTGTGCAGTTTTTGTTAGGCTTGAAATAAGGAAAAAAATGTTTATGTATATCTTCTGGGTTTCTGACCGTAAGAAGTCAGTAATGCCAATTATGACATGTGAGGAAGAGTAGAAAGAGATCACCACCTGGTATGGAAGTGTGACATAAGTGCAATGGTTAGAGGACAAGAGAAGGAATTAGCATGCAGTGTTGCCTTGGTGGTCCACAAGTTCAGGCTGCATTTTTAGCATTAGAGAAACTAAGTTGCTTATGAAACTGGTTAATTTATTGCTATAACTATCATGTGGAAAAATACCATAATTTCTTTGATGACAGTAGACCCAAACAAAACCCCTGGCAGAATCCTGTAATTCATAGGTCCTAGTATATGGACCTCTGAAAAATAGGAAGGAAGTAAAATAATTATAAAACTTACTGTTTGTCCCATCCTGTCCTGTGACTCATCCAGTGATATTCCCTCAATTTTTCAATATTTTCTGGTGTCATTTTATAAGGTACTTACTTTCTTTATCCCCTCTGCCACCCCCACCTCTGGAAATGAGCTGTTGGTCTACATGTCTGTCTTTTTGCCTTAAACAAAAAAAAACCCTCAAATCCAAACAAAAACCCCAACATATCTTAATCCCTCTGGAAAATGAAAAGTAAGTTGTGTATTAACATCTGTTTCCTAAATTTCAGCTTTAACAGACAGACAGGAAAGTGCACTGATTGAAATAATGCTTTGTACAATTCGGCAAGCGGCTGAATGTCATCCTCCTGTGGGAAGAGGAACGGGGAAAAGGGTATGAAGCAACAAACCTACTCATCTAGAGATGTGGGAATGGCTCTGTGGGACCAATGTGGGAAGAAGGAAAAGATTGTAGACTATTGCTGCTGACGGAACTGAGATGGGAGATTCAGCTTTGGTCTCCACATTTGACTACCCTGGCTAGTTTGCTTTTTCTGGATTTGGGCACGTGCTTAGTACTGATCGAACTACTGCATTTGTTTGTATTATTAAAGATAATAAAAATTTATTTTGAAAACAACATTGGTTTGAAAGGAGGACAAGAATCAGTGTTTGGGAAAAGCTAAAAGTATTTTCAGTGTGAAAGAGCTAAATGAGGGAAAGGAAAATACACTCCATAGTCTCTTGGAAGAAGACCAGTCCATCAATTGGCTTTTCTGTGATTATACGGAGTTTAGACAGCCTCTTTTGCTGAGGCATTAAGCATTCTTCTCTCAAGACTGGTGCATATTTTGGTAAGAGACCCATTTAAGAACAGGTTGAATGCTTGTATGAAGATAGGATTGACAAATTAATAGGATAAATATTGTTTAAAGTTGTAAGCCAAAGGAGTTCCCATTCTTATATTGTTATTCCAGTCATGGTATTTTGTTGCAGGAAAGGTAAACCTTTTGTTCTATGTTATCACTTCTGTTTTCAAGATAATCTTAATAGTGTTAGGACTGACTTTGCATTGCATTTTTTGAATGCTGAGTGTTTTTTTTTTTTTTTTTTTTTTTTTAAGTGCACACATCCCTCCTGCTTTACATTGATATGTTACAGTGGTTTTAGAGGTCCATGTACCTAATCATAATTTCATTAATGATAATGAGACTTTGCATTAGAACTTTTAGTTGTAAAATCCTCACAATACCAATATTTTAGGTGCTGACAGCAAAGGAAAAGAAAACCCAGTTGGATGACAGGACAAAAATTACTGAGCTTTTTGCGGTGGCACTTCCTCAGTTGCTAGCAAAGGTAGGTTTAATTCCATTTCTTGCTGATGGATGGTAGTTTAAATGTTTACAAGTATATTTCTGTAATTAATGATACAGCTTGTCACGAGTTTTATTTTTTTCTTACTAATCTTTGTTTATATTTACTTATTCTACAATGAATTATGTTGTCCAAGACTTCTTAATCTAAACTTTTTTCCTTGCCAATTTTACAGTATTCTGTAGATGCAGAAAAAGTCACCAACTTACTGCAGTTGCCACAGTACTTTGATTTGGAAATTTATACAACAGGGCGATTAGAAAAGGTATGGTAACATCCACACATTAACATAAAAGGAAAAGTCACAGAATTTAGACTTCTTCACCATTTTAGGAGTGCTTTTTTGTGTAAAGGAGATTTTATTTATTGTAACCCTTAGTGATAGTGCGACTTTGATTTCAGAGTTGTGACTTGCTGCTCTAAGAAGAGATACCAAAAATTTGAGTTTTCTAAGGCCTGTCTGGCCAGTTTTAACAGAAAATCTTGCCAGTTAGATGAACTTAAATCAAGAACATTTATTGCTGGCTTGTAGTCATATTTGAGGTAACTGTCTGACAGATAAAGCATGTAGAAACAGCTCAGTAAGTTTTCTTTTTCTATCACTGAAACTAGAAAACCACTATCATCACTGCATGAAAAAGAGGAAGAATACCAGATCCCAAATGATGCAGTTACTGCTCTCATTTTATCTGCTATGATGATGAAGTTGAAGCTGTTCTCATCTCTATTGTCTCCTTCTCAGATGTGCTTATTGCATTGTGAAGGAAGTAGCTGGAAATCATTAGAGTCAAAAAGTGATAAAATGTGTAGTTGACAGCATAGCCAGCAGTGAACGAGCATCAGTGAGCAACTCAGGTTGATGGGAAGAATATGTGAACAGCTCAAGTTGGCTTTGGTTGTTAGACAGTAGAGTGTTATGAAACTAAATCTTAGATTATACAGCTTTTAAGACACACACAAACATGCACAGATGTTTGTGTGAGTGGGAGGTATATACTTCTGTGTTGTTCAGTTGTCATTGCAAATTCAGGTGTTAGGTAAGACCATACCAACAATAGCAAATTTTTAATCACTTCTGTGATTTTGTCTTTGACAAGCTCCAACTTAATGTTTGATAAATAGACTTAATTTCTCAGAAGCGTCACTGATTTTCTGGAAGGTGTTTGTGTTCTGTATCATAGTTACATAAGTAATAAAAAAAATTTAAAATTCTTTAAGGTTTATAAAAAATGCATTTGTGAATTTTTGTATGTGTACATATATATATGAAAATAAAAATGCATATTTTCTTCTTTGCCTCATCTTCCTTGTAGCATTTGGATGCCTTACTGCGACAAATCCGGGATATTGTGGAGAAGCACACAGATACAGATGTTTTGGAAGCCTGTTCAAAAACCTACCATGCTCTCTGTAATGAAGAATTCACAATCTTTAACAGGGTTGACATTGCAAGAAGTCAGTTAATAGATGAATTGTCAGACAAGTTTAATCGACTTCTTGAGGACTTCCTGCAAGAGGTATTTTAATGTGCAAGATCACCTTTTCCTGCCCTTGTAAATATTTTCAGTATTTTTTCTGTCTTCCTCTGCAAGTCAGTGCTAGGGATGAGAGCTTCCCTTTGATTTTCAAAACTGTCGAGTGCAATAATACAACAGTGTTGCTGCTGTGATTGTGTGAACGCAGACTGTTCTTCTAAATTAAGACAGTGAGTCTTTAATTTTGATCTCCTTTTGACAAGAGTCCTTTGGGAATTTGAGATAAGTTTCAGATAAACAATTAATACATAAACCTTTTCCTCTTAGCTTTTGAGGATTACATATTTGAGAGTTGTAGTATTGTAATTCCTCTAGTATTCGCAGATGTACTCTACTGTAGCTAGTCTTGCCTGTGGTTGCATGTTGCTGTTAAATATCGAAATCTCTAGAAAACACCCCCCTCCCTTCCTGAGTGCAAGAAGATGCAGTTAGTAGATCAAAAATAACTTTGTTCCCACACTGTTGATCTGAAAAGTGAGAATCTTCTTTATAAGAGTATTTAACTTCACTAAGTGAGATCTCTGACATTCAGACAAAACTTGTTTCTCCTTTTCATCTGTTATAAGGAGCTTAGGAAGTATCTTTTTGACAGCTTCATTCTTTACATTTCTTAGATACATGTAGTTTATCAAGCTCTCCTTTTTTCTCTTGCTTTTTGTTCTGAACTAGAACTCAGTTCTAGAAATCCTAAACAAGAAATGTACCCGTTTGTTTCCCTTTGTGATGAAAAGAAAGAAGGAGAGGTAAAGCAAGGAAGTGATATGTCAGAAGTTGGCTTGAAGGAAAATGGCGAATACTTCCGTGGAAGTGTTGAAATCCTTAGTTCTTCGATTGTTATGCAACTACAGAATAGCAAAACTTGGATTATCTCTGCTAGACTAAGGAGGAGTTTCTTGACCTCAGGTTATTTTACGTACAGATAGATACTTTTTCGACCCTTTCATTTTTACTCTTTTTTTCACTAAATGCAACTTTGTCAGAACTTAGGGGAAGATTAGAACAAACCAGTTCCCTTACCTCACTCAAAGACTTTTTTCTGTGATTAAAGTAAGACTGAAGTATTGACCTGTGGCCCATCTAGTCCAGTGTCTTTTGTCTGACAGTGGCCTCTGCTGGATTCTTCAGAGAAAATAGAAGCACCTACATTATACATTGTATCCTGCTAGCCTAGGCGTTTTCGGGTTTTTTCTCCCTTCTTCCTCCATACTCCACTCCCCCTTTCTCTTCTTCTGATGCTATTTTATAGAATTGTAGAATTATCTGGGTTGGAAAATACATTTAACATCATTGACTCCATCTCTAGATATGAACTGCTTGCTGCCCTATCTCTCTAACTCTTCTAAAAGCATATGTGACATAAGTAGTTTAGCATCAGGTCTGCACTCACTCCTGCCCAGAAGTTTGGGGGGGGGGGGGGTTTGGTTTA